CGGAAGAGAGACTATTTCATATCATCTGCACGAGTTCTTAGGGCCAGTGGATGTCTGTTTCTTTCACTTAGTACACAGACTCACACGCAGAGATACAGTCCTCCCAAGCAGCAGTTCTCGGTGATGCTAGTTTTGCTGCTCAGAAAAAGTCACCGTGAAAGTGATTTGAGCAGCTTTAAATTAACCCCAGTGTTACTGAGAACTCTGGTTTACAGTCAACTTCATTTCTAACAAAACAAAGGTTTCAGCTGCCTTCTTTCCAAAGAAACCTTGAAAGGAAGACGTCAGACGGTGTTGCTCGGGTCTCCCAGGTTTACACCCTCGGCTAAATGTAATTAGCCGCCGACAGCAGATCCCTCCGCGCCGCTCCCCGTATGGCAGGCTCTTAGTCTCTCTGACCCCGGCTTTCCATTAAGCGAATTCTGTAATGACATAGTTTTCGTTCTTCTCCAATATGCCTTACCCGACTATGATGCAAATTGTTTTTTAACTGTTCGAGTCTATTGGAATAAATCAAGCCGTAAACTTTACAGCAGGGCTTAAAGGACCTTGGTGGGGTGGCAGCCTTGCTGATGTCTAGCGTTGGAATGGAACTCTCCGTTCTTACCCTTTCTGTGACACTCACAGATCACTACACTTCGCCGTCTTTTGAAACACTAGAAAGTAGTCACATAATTATGGCCGTGGGGCATTCTACTGTTATCCTGATAGCAGCTAAAGGAGCTCCCAAGCAAAACACGCCATGCTGTGCACACACCCCCAGAGCACAATGCCTTTAAACACCAGTCCGCTTCCTTGAAAAACTCTTGTGTTCCCAGAGTGGCTACACAAAAGAACTACTCAGATGTGAGGAGAAAGGACATACACGGTTTGGGACAGTCCTTCGCCCGGAGCCCTATAGGAGGCAGGATTAGGAAAGACGAGTGGGTGTGGGGGGTGTCCTACAGGGCAAAGAAGATGCATCGCGCAACTTGAATTTCTGGGTGACAGTTTCTAGGTGTCTGTGAAGGATGATGTCTTCAGCCGTTTGCATCATCCCTGAAAATCTAGTGCCTTTTATTCTCTGAGCTCTGCATGCTTCTGCTGCTACATTCGCCACACCCAGGAGGATCTGTTAGTGTTAAGTTTTTTAAAAAAGTGTTCTGAAATTGGAGTTCCATTCTCTGCAGTTTGAAGACACTTTCCTACGTGACGTGGTTGTGGCACCGTAGGTTCGTTAACATTCGTCTGGAACCCACTTGGCATGGGACACTGGGGTCAACCAAGCAGGCAAGGCAGGGCCATTACTGGTGTCTGTGGGATAGCCAGTCATCTTCACACTTGGGGGCTGCAAAACGTAGGGGGGATAAATATCTTTTGATGTGTGAACTATGTTTTCTAGGGCTTTACATGTACCGCATTTGTTTTGTTTTGTTTTGTTTTTGCTTAGCTTAGCAAAATATTTGTCAAAGTCACACAGTCTAAAGCGAGAACTTCACTTACACTGTTGTCCTCCTCCTGTGGGGTCCCCAATGTCAGCTACTCCTAAAAACCTCATCATGTGCCATCACATTTTGGTTTGTCAACTTGAAAAGGTCAAGAAACCTGAGGGGTTAAAAAAATGAAAATAGAGAAGTGCAGATCTGGAAAATGACATTGAAACTCTATGTGTGGCTACGTAAAACACAATTTTCTGACTAGGCCCGTGTCACGAGGGCCACTAGAGAGAGTAACGTATGAAGCATTGGCAACAATGAGAATGGGAAACTGAGCCGTGAGCAGTGCTCACTCCTCCGGTCAGTAATCCAGGAAACACAACCTGGTAAGCAGCAACAACAAAAAAGAAAAGTGCTGATGAGATGGTCTAAGTTGATATAGCCCCTTTGGAAATTAATTCTGCAGTAAATCATAAGACCCATAAAGATGTTTTGGCCTCTGCCCCAACAATTCCACTCTTAGACATTTATCCTAAGGAGGTAAATCAACAGAAGTCAAAAGACTAATGGATAAAAATGGTCCCTGTATTACACAAAGACAGAGGACGAGACTCATGGACTGTCCAGTAGTCAAGGACAGATGCATGTCAACACAACGGAATCTACTGTGGCCATACGAATTTTATCACTCAAGCAAGCAAAATAAAAACAGTATTCCCACTGTGCTTACAGTGTAAAAATATGACCTCAAGTGGGGGTGGGGGCACAGACAGACTGACCTTAATGAGGGGTTTTTCCACTGTGTGTGTGTTTTTTTTTTTTTTTTAAAGAGCCATGATCACTATAACTCCTCCTTCCCAGAAGGCGGCAGGGGTCCGACCAGGACTGACTTAGGAGTGTGTGATGACATTGCTGCACTTGCTTGAATTGCCTACTGTTTCTGTCTTGAAATTTGCAATTTTTGAATCAGGGAGGGCTCCGCATTTTAATTCTGCACTGGGCTCTGCAAATTATGTACCCAGTCTTGGATCTTCCTGCAGAAACATAGGTAGGGAAGACCCCTACGAAATCACAAATAAACTAGAGATCCACATGGAAGATATACTGGAATGTAACTCTGCTATATTTTGCTTTGCAAATAATTTTTAAGGATTCAGCATGATTTTTTTAAAGCTATTTATCTGACATCTAGCCCCCTAAAGTCTCTCTGCACTGTGCTAATTTTAGAGTCAATTGATTCTGAAGGTTCATGTCTTCCAGGGCAGTCCAAAGCACTCTTCTGTTTGTTTTTAAATGGTTCAAGGGGCCTTTGGGGTTTGCATACGGCATCAATTATTTAGGACGCCAGCCATCCCCTATACCACCTCTTATTACTAATACTTGATAACGTCAATTAAAATCCGTCCCTTCTGCACCAGTCCCAGAGATGGGACCATTTTAACTTGAATGGTTCTTTTACATATCAAAAGCCCCGCAAAGGAAAGTAATTTGTATTTGCAAAGGATCGGCTGTAAATATGATTTACGAACAACATTTCTCAATTGTTATCAGAGTGGTTTTGTGTGATCGCCCTGTCCCCTTCGGACCCGTGCGCAGGTCCATAATGAGAAAGTTGCCAGATCACGTCGCAGCGCCGCACTGTCACAGTGGCTGCTACCAGCCGGGCCTCATGTTTTGCCTTGTTTACAGCTGACAGCGTTATTATTCTGATCGGGGCTCTGCTTTCTTATCGTATTGTTGTGTCGAGCGAGCCTTTTCCTCTCCGTTTGTGTTTCCTGGCAGGGCTTTTCTTGCCTTATTGACAGTTTGTAAAAATATGCATTAATTTGGAGTTTCAAGCATGTATCATGGTGTCTCTTTGCTGTGTTTGCTTGAAGTTGATTAATGATCGAACCTCGCTTGGGGTCGTCCTCTGGAGAGTTCTTTCACAGGTTCTGCATGTTAACTAGCAAAGCAGAACACACAGCGAGCCGTGATTAGCCCAGCCTCCTGCACTCGGCGGTCCCCTCGAACCGCCATTGTATTACGCTTCTCGGTCCCTGTCATTATTTGAAGATCGGGGGCCATCCACCCAGGATGCCACCCTGGGGCCTGCTGCCTGGTACTCAGAGTGTGGTCCCGGGACCAGCTGCGTCACCTGGGGAAATGTCACAGATGCACAGTCTCAGGCCCCACCCCAGGCCTGCTGAATCACAGGCTGGCTGCCTTTTAAAAAGGGCCTCCAGTGATTAAGGGGCTCCGGTAGAGTGCCAGAAATGCCACCAGGACCAGGGTGGGGGGAGGGCTGCACTGTCCAGAGATCGCTATCCAAAGGATCTTTCTGCAGCAATGGACAGGTCTCTGCGCTGTCTGGCGTGGTAGCCATGTGTGGCCCTAGGGCCCTAGAACACTTTGAAACGGGTTTGGTGAGCCTGAGAAACTGAATTTTAAGTCATGAAGTTGTTATGCATTTTAATTTCCAGAGCCACCTGCACCTAATGGCCATCGCAGTGGACAGTGCTGTTGTCCAGGGTGGCTTTTGTGTCGGCCTCAACACTTGAGTCCCGCCTGGCCAGGAAGTGCCCTTACTAAATCTTGCCTTGCTTTTCCAGGCACCCTGTCCACGTCAAAGAAGAGCCCCTGGATCCAGAGGAAGCCGAAGGGCCTCTGTCCTTAGTGACAACAGCCAACCACAGTCCAGATTTTGACCATGACAGAGATTACGAAGACGAACCAGTAAATGAGGACATGGAGTGAACGGCTGGGTGGGCTGACCCGAAGAACGAAGATTGGAAAAAGAAAACAACAGCAAACACACACACACACACACACGCACACACACGCAAACAAACCACGTCAGAAGTTAGCAGTGAAATTGTTCTCCATTTGTTGTACAGTCTGGAGGATTTTCACTACGTTTTGACAACTCTGAAATGTGTTAACTCTTAGTGCCATCAAGAATCCCATTTGGGAGTATTTTTGATTTTTCTACTTTTTGTTGAAAAAAGGAATTTGTACTCTGTGCATTGGACGGACTTGTTTGGTACTTGGGATTTTCCTCTCTTAACAGTCAACATCAGTGTTGTACATTTGCTAAACTGATTCACTTTTAGCAGCAGACTTTGAATGCAATCCTGCCAACGCTGGACACTGAGGACACCCGACTGAGCTCACGCACCTAAGCTGCAGACCAAGCCTTTGCCCAGAATTTAAGGATTCCAATGGACGACCTATTTGCACAGTACTGCATGTTGATTATCACTGCCTTTACTCCTTTTTTTTTTTTTTTTTTTTTTTTGCTTCCAGTTGGGATGGGGAAGGCCTTTGTGTGTGTATTGGGGGGAGGGGTTAAAAAATAATTATCCCAAACTTTTTAATGTATTGCTTTTTTTTTTTTTTTTTTTTTTTTTTGGTTTTACTATACCATTTTAAGTTCTGACCTCAGGCCTCCACTTGGGCCCATGGCCTCCTGGAGGCTTAAAAGTTTTCTGTACCTTGTGATGAATGTTAATAGGTGTTTTTATTATACACAGCTGAATGTCATTTCTCGTTTGTAGTTTTCTGTCACTCATTCCATTTTCCTTCAGACATCACCACGTTTCTCTAAACTCAGAAAACATTCCTTTTGGTCTTTTTCAAAAAAAGGTCCCAAATGCTGCACTGTACACATGAAGGTCCTCTCACACAGACGTGACGTCCTGCCCGAAAGAGAATGAATGACAGAAACTCGAACTAGAGACACACACGAGGAACACCTGTAGATTCATTCCATGAAGCAGTATTGGGGGTGGGAAGGGGGTTGTGTCAGATTTTCCTCTTTTTTGGTTTTGGGCAGCAACTATCATTCTTCAGTGCCACAGCATCGTACCAGCACGAAGAAGCTAGGCAGCACCGGAAAGAAAAAAAAATAGTGATCAGATTGACATCAAGGCCGTAGGAGCGGCGGGCTCTCTCTTGTGGTGGGTTGCTTTGTTTGCAAAATGACCAAAAAAGCCAGCTCCTCGGAGCAACTTGGCGGTGTGGGCAGGAGTTTCTACCGCAGCTCAGACCTGCGGGTGGCACGAATCTGAGAACAGATTCCGTTTCTGATTGAACTTGTTCTGGGAGTTCCTGAGGACGGAGTTCAGCACCTGCTCAAGTGCTCGTTTCACACAAGCAGATTCGGTACTTGTGCTTCGGTTTGCTACGCCGTGTTACCACACCCACCCAGTATCAAAAAACTAGCGGAAGACGTCAGTGAGGCTGGGGCTCACCTCGGCCTCGCGCTTTTGGGGAACCAACCATGGCATGCAGAACGTGATGGTGTAGGTCAGTACAACCCCGGTCCTTGGAACCCCGAAACACACTTCCATTCTGTACCTGACCTCCTGTCATTTGTTTATCTAGGACTGTAGCTTTTGTTTTAGTTCGAGAGCCTTTCGGAGCTTAATTTATATTCTTTACACCTTTTTTTTCCCCTAAAATTACCAAAGATATTACACAAAGGTAAATTATGTTCTCTGTTTTATGCTTTATCTGATGAAGCCAAATATCCTCTTATTGTTGATCAAAGGAGGTGAAAGAATTTAGAGGCGAATGACAAAATAGAGGCTATTGCTAACCTGAGAAAGAGAACTGCTCCTTCATCATAAATTTAGAAGACCAAGTAGGTAAATGGAACCAAAGTTGTTACTTTTTTTGTAGATTCTTTTTCTTTTTTCTTTTTTTTTTTTTATCTGTTTGTACCTCTACAGAGACCAAAACTCATTCTTGTGTAGAGAAATTCTGGGGCTACTGAAGATCACAGTGGGACAGAGTATTAAAGGAGTTACAGAAAGAAGGGAGTCCCACCTCAACGAAAAAGAAATGAATGTATGCTAGTAGGAATTCGGGTATCCAGTAGAGGAGGCAGGGAAGAAAACATCCCAACAGAATGGCAGAGCCTCCACAATTTAACTAGACCACATAAAACATAGTATTTCTAGATAGGAAAAAAAAAAAAGGTTTTCGAAAGATGATATGCCACTTTTGTGTAAGGACTATGCTATTATCACTGCATTAATCTTGCTTTATCTTGGTAGATAGCCTCCATTTCTTTTTGTTTTAAGTTCTTCCCTTTTTCCCTATGCCCCCCCCTTTTTTTCTTTTCTTTTTTTTTTTTTCTGATTAGGCTTTGGTCAGCATTTTTCTTTTGAAGAAAAAGTAACACTCCCGTCCACTCTTAACGCTTGGTACAAACACTTCTTCGGCAGTTACTTTTGAAGCTTCACTCTGCTTTCTGTATCAAGGGCAGTCTGTGGTCACTCAAGACTTTTTTTAAAACTTTTCCAGGCAGCTTCATGATGTACAGGCAGTAGCCAGACAGGGTCATGGGAAGGGGGCCCTGTGCTTCTAAACTGAGTGGTTGCTGGTTAGTTTGGTATTCAAAAGAGGATAAAAATCTGGTAGATTAGTTCATTCTCAGCATGTGTAGCTAGACATGAGTAAAGATAACAGCATGAGAAACTGTTAGTACGCATACCTCAGTTCAAACCTTTAGGGAATGATTAAAATAAAAAAAAAATACATTTCACTCAGTTGCACTTAGTCGTACGTCTTGCATGCTTTTTTCAAAGACTGTAGCAAAAAAAAAAAAAAAGAAAAATTAGATTTTACATATCTTTGCAGGTATCACAGCCTTGCACAAGAACCAACTGAAAAAGAATTTCTCAGGCTTTACAGCAAGCAAACTTCACTATGATTTTTACAATTCTGATTCTGTATCCCTTGGGGGTAATTCCAGTCGCTTCTTTAGGGTGGGGTTTATTATGTTGTACATATATCCCAATGTGTCTGTGTGAATCTTTGTCTTTTTTGGGGGAGGGCAGAGGGTGGTTGTTTTTTTAGATATTGTTCCTAAAAAGGAATAAATGCATACACCTGTTTGTCAAAACACCTTTGCTTTTTTGTGCAACTGCTTTATATTAACGATACTAAAAAAAAAAAATGCTTTGGGAAAAAAAAACAAACTACTGTATGTAATGGAATAGCAGAATATGCTGCACATGTCTTATTTACTTATCCTTGCTTTAAAAATATTGGATGACATTTCCTGACATGTGGGAGGGAGCAACTCCCGGCAACCCCCTTTTTTTTTTTTTTTTTTTTTTGCTTTTACATTGTAACATAGTTGACAGATATTATTTTTTTCTGTTCTCATTGATTGGAGCATTTTGTACAGGTTGTGTGTGTGTGGGTGTGTGTGTGTGGACGCGCGCACGCGTGCGTTAAACTGTTTTTTGATACTTTTACTATCCCTTGTGTTTATCCTACCGATGCCTTCCCTGGCTATCTTTAACAAGTTCAGACATTTGAAAAGAGAAAAAAAAAAAAAATCCTGTTGTTTAAAAACTGTTTCCTCCTGCTGCGGGTAAATATTTTGCATGATGAAATTCCAGGGTCACACTTTCAAAGTTTATCAGTGAAGTAGTGATTAATCATGGGGAGTGTCAAAACTATCAAACTTTTGTATAAAAAAAAAAAAAAAAAAAACTTTTCAAGGTGCCAACATGTAAAGACAATTTCTTTTTTTTTTTTTTTTTTTTTTCCTAAAAGAAAAGCATACCTGAGGGAGGTAGTCCTGTGCATCACACAAACGCACTGTCAGGAATGAGGACCACTTGTGCTTGTCTCTAGATCTGGCCATGTGAGCTGGGTGGGGCTGTCACACGGGACGAGCAATACCAAGGCTCATGTACACAAGGAATGACTGCTGGGCCTGGCACATTTGGCCAGCTCTAACCTAATTCCTAGCATTTTGTCAGACCTAGCAAAGACAACCTTGAATTCCTAACCGGAACCACGATGTACGTGGCTGGCCTTTTATTTTATTTTAGTTTTTATTTTTTTATTTTTTTTTAATCACACACACATACACACACACACACAGAAATAGAGCTACAAAATATTTCTTCTTCATTCTGCATTCCAGCTGAGCTCCATTTCCAAGAGCACAAAAGGAGAATGTGCTTTTAAGGGTTCCCTATCTTTTTTGGTACCTTTCAGTTAATGGCATACCCTCCTGATAGTTTGGGTGTTCTGAAAGTCGGTTTTGCTTTTTCCCATCCTGAGAATCAGATCTGCAAGTCCAAAGGCATCCTGTGGGCACGGTGTAGCTCACGCCATCTCTGCTACCCAGAAGCCTTGATGAAGATGGTACAGTCTGGACTGTGAGCATGGTGCTCCATGTATATGTGCTGCCAGTAACAAGAACTGTTTTGTTTTGTTTTGTTTTGTTTGGATAAGGCATAAAAGAAACTCATTCCTTGACATCAACTGTAATTCCATCATTCCATGTCTGTGGATACAGACAATTAAAAAATGTTGTGTAGTCAGTACTAATTACTGACATTATAGCATTCTCAAATGCAATAAAAATGCTGGTTGTTCACACTGGTAGTAAAAGTCGCCACAGCCTAAGTTTTTTTTTCCCCCCCTTCTGACCCGCTGACACTGTATGTTAGGCACAGGCCTTCGCTTTCTCACCAGCTGCTTCCAACACAAACGAAAAGCATTCTGAACCACAAGCGCTCGTCAGGGAGGACAGAAGCTCTTACCTCGGGATTTCTCAGTACAAGTATCCAGATATTTGGGGAGAAAAACAAGGGGTGAGAGAAAGAGAAGCAACCCATCTTTTCTCCTATTTTTCTTCATCAAATTTTATAAAGAAAAACAAAATGTTTAATAACTAGCATTAAAAGCAAACTAAAATTTCAGAGGAAAGCAATTTCATGAATAATTCATTCAAGTTTCACATCTGCAAGATTAGTCATCCAAATAAAATGCTAATGTCAAAAACATGCACCGTCTATAATATTCTCATCAAGAAATCTTTTTGCATATAATGATAAATGCTTAGATTAGAACAAATGATTTCATAAAAATATTCTATCCGAAGTATGCTAGAGAGCTAACTGTGTTCCACAGGGAAAACAGAACTCCAGTACCTCAGCCATCCAGAAAAAAATCATCCCGATGCAGACTTTTTAAAAAATGGCCTACCTTTTGAAGATTTTATTTTTGAAATGTTATTCTACTCTACATAGTCTAAAGGTTAATGAATTTGAGCATCATCTTTCAGTAAAAATTAAATTGCCAATCTAACGACAGCAATACTTTTCAGTGGTCAAACCATGGTCACGAAGCCATTACGTATGAAACTCGGAGCACAGAACTTGGCCAGCCAAGAGAGGACTTGAAAATTACCCCTGCAGTGTTGATTCTGCAAAATGCCCACTCATGTAGAGGAGTATCTCACTGTTCTTTCTTAGCATTGTTTTGGAAAGCCCATTTTAAGACAGTTTTCTCTATTTTTTTTGTTAAGTAGATTTGCTAGTAAGTTGCTGGCATCATTTGTTCGTTTTTGTTTTTGTTTTGTTTTTTTCATTAATGGTTATCTCGGTCTAGAAGCCTCTAGTCTTAATTATCAGTAAAACATCTGAATCTTTCATTCAAACCTGGCCACTAAGAATATGATATTAGGGGCCACTGAAATTCCTTTAGTTGTCACTCTTCAACATACGCACTGCTTCTAGCATCGACAGTTGATAAGCCTGAATATGTACATTTATTTCTTTTACTGAACTGCAGGACCCAAACTAAGTATGATGATGTGTTAGGAAAGATTTTGCTGGTTGATCCACAGTACGTTTTAAATTTTATTTCAGGAAATGTTCTAAAGCAGGAACATTATTTTACATATTTATTTCAGGCTTTCCACTTAGATAAATGAGGCAGCAAACCCAAAATATTGGCTCTTCTTTTAAATGTGTGTCTTTACATAAAGGGCGCAAACTCTTAAAAAGATGAACTTCATGCCAACACGGAGCTTAATATTAACAATCACCCTCCCCCCAAAACAAGGGAAAACAAAGTACAATTAGTCTTTCTTTTTAGCTGTTGTCTTCTTTGATAATTACACATTTATAGAGAGTACTAAGCACAACTGATCTTCCATTTTCATTGTACTTCAGTTAGATAAAAGTGTCTTTACTCAAAGGAAGTTGGGTCTCAGACCTTCACTTAAGGGACTGACTGATGAAAGGTTTAAGACAGAATTCACATTGGAGGGAAATTAAATTACATACAAAAACACTGGTGTAATGGTGGGACAATATTTGGATTAGAAAACCATCACGCTAGACACAACCTACTTATATTTATTTTTCTACATTATATTTTTTAAAAAAGCAAAACCCTGTGTTGTTTTATTTCTACCCTGATTATAAAATGACATTCGGTGCTTAATACCAAGATCACGCATATGGCAGTGCCATCAGAAATTATCCACAGCCTTTTTTTTTTTTTTTTTTTTTTTTTTTTGGTGTATATTGAGAATACCAGGAGGAAAAAAGACAAGCTTCAAGTTATAATGTTAATTTGAAGGTAACCGGCCTTTCAAGAATTAATTTCAACCAAAGCAATAATCATTATTTACCAGCGTGTGACATTTTTATCACTCATCATATTAGCAAATTTCCATTGAAAATGCTAAAATGGTTCGTCATAAGGCTGATAACTGCTCTAGCTGTAAAAATGACCAACACAAGTGCCAGTACTCAAACATTAAATTATACTGTAATTAATAAAGACAGTTAAACTGTCTACTAGCAACAGCAATTTAGGTAACCACATTTGATCAGCTATAAATTGTGAGTACATTAAAATTCCAGAAATATTAGCAATATGGATTACTTGATGGAAGCCCATGCTGATCACCAATTCTCCTTTTTAATTTTTTTTTTTTTTCAAACAACGGAAGCACAGGTCATGTTGACCACAAATCCGTGGGCGAAGATCAGGCCTTAGCACTTTTAATCTTGTGAAACAAGCAATTACAAATAGTTGCATCGATTTGTTAAAAAGCTTTAGGTGACATAAATTGTTTCCTGTTTAGCGTATTGCTCTGATACATAAATGTCACCAAGTCCGGTATTAATTAGGGCAGTAGAACAACTGAGGGTGGCCGCTATGGCTCCCAACCAAGAATTTGTCAGTCCTTTTGTGACTGTTCTCCAAGGCTGCTCTTGTGGGCTCGTTCTCATTAGAGAGAGGAAAAGGAAACCATTTCATTACGTGAACTCTCTAATACCACCGACGTGTTCCGTTCAGAACTAAATCGTGAGATTTCAGACTTGCTTTCTTGCCATTTGACATAAAACACCACATTTTTCAAATAGCTTCTAAATAGAATAATATTTACAATGCATCTCAGCCCCTGAAAAGCTAACACTTTCTCCCCGTACGATGTATGTTACTGTTCGTCTTTCCCTGGGCTTGTATTTCTACACTTAAAATATGATTTTAAATGGCCTGTGCATGCTATTGACTTAACATAAATCAAATATATCACATATACTTTCTTTAGGTTGGCATGCCCCTTAGAAAAATATGTGAGATTCTGGGAGGAAAAAAAGTCTGGAGAAAATTTATTAAATACAAGTTTTTACTGTAATCGAATATTAATGGAAGCCAATGCTCATTTGCCATTAAGCTGATTCTTTTTTAACGTACACATGCTTTTTATTATTTTGCACTCAAGCAAAAATTCCACATTCAAAGACTTTATTGTCAGAAAATTATGGGACACCTTGAGAGTTACCTCACTTTCATTTTGTGTATTCTTTTTTTTTCTTTTTTTTTTTTTTTGGTGTATATTGAGAATACCAGGAGGAAAAAAGACAAGCTTCAAGTTATAATGTTAATTTGAAGGTAACCGGCCTTTCAAGAATTAATTTCAACCAAAGCAATAATCATTATTTACCAGCGTGTGACATTTTTATCACTCATCATATTAGCAAATTTCCATTGAAAATGCTAAAATGGTTCGTCATAAGGCTGATAACTGCTCTAGCTGTAAAAATGACCAACACAAGTGCCAGTACTCAAACATTAAATTATACTGTAATTAATAAAGACAGTTAAACTGT